AGCCCCAAAACCCGGCACAGGCAGGACTCCCAAGGGCAGAAGTCTGAGCCCCCACAGACCTCCCCAGAAGCCCCAGCCCACTCCCCCAAGCCCAAGGTTGTAGAGCCTCCCGATGGTCTCTGCTCCTCAGCCAGTACCCTGGAGGGGCTCAGCGTCTCCGATGAGACCTGCCTCAGCACCTCGGAGCCCAGTGCCCGAGTTGCAGATTCCATGGGTGTCTCCCCAGAGGATCTGGATGACACTGGGCAAGTAGTACCAGAGCGGGGCCAGCTGAATGGGAAGCGGGACACGCTGTGGCTGGCGCTGAGGGAGACTGTGTACGACCCATCACTGCCTGCCTCCCACCAGAGCAGCTCGTCCTGGAAGGGCCGAGGGGGCCCTGGGGATGGCAGCCCCGTGGTGCTGCCCAACAGCCAGCCAGACCTGCCAGATGTTTGGCTGCGCAGGCCCAGCACCCACACCTCGGGTTACAGCAGCTGAGGGAGGCCCAGCGAGGCCAAACCGGGGTGCAGCACCCTTTCAGGGATGACCAAGCAGGAGTAGCACCAGCTGGAGCCTGAAGGTATCTCTCCACCATGGAGAGGTCTCACTCTCCGGCTGTGGATTTGAAACCCTGCCAAACGTTCCAGCCCTGATCTGGCTGCGGCTTACTCCTCACATCTGGAGGATTTAGCGGGGAGGGTCATCGGAGAGGAACATCAGGCTCTCCTTGTGACCTGCTGAGGGCTCGTCTGCCCCCACGGCACCAACCAGGACCCCCTCCTCTGGAAAGAGGAAAAGCCAGATGTGTAGCTCCAGGTTTTGGAGGGGTTGACCTGGACCTCTCCCCAGTGGCAAGAAGTTCAGTGAGACCAAGGGCTTATCCTTGGGACCCTGCCAGGGTACCTTACTGACCAGAAGAGCCTGGGGAACCCCTACAGCCTCCTGGGCCTCATCCCTTTGGAGGGCTCTTCATCAGGACACTTTTCTCTCTTTGGGGGGTTCTCTGGGCCAGAACTGGGCTGGAGCCTCCATCCTGAACTGCCATGCTGCCCTCACACCATCTGACCAGAAATTCTCCAAGGCCAGGCAGAGGTGACTGCTGGGAGTGACGCAAGAGGAGGGATGTCAGCCTCGGAGCCTCCCGAGATTGCAGGACAGTCCCTTGGGAAGCAGGCTCTGCTGCTCCCTCCTGTTAGAACAGTGATCCTTGACGCCCCTGGACCTGTCAGCCTTTTCGTAACCTCTCAGCTTCACTCTGGGCTGGCCTGCAGGTGGCCAGGCTCTCACTCCCGATCTGCAGGCAGAGATGCTGAGCTAAGAAGGCGCCCGAGTTTCCAGAGTCACACACTGGGACATGGCAGAGCAGGTTTCTGGCTCGTTCCACCCTGTAGCTCCCAGTCCCCTCCTAGCTACCTGCCTCAGGGACGTTGGTCTGTGGCTGTCCCGATCCTTTACCAACCCTCCCTCTCCCTCTGGGCCTCCATCTCCAGACAGACCATTACTCTGAGCAAACCCTGGAGTTCCTCCCAGCTCCCCTGTGCTTCCCACTGGAATCCGGCTGAGGTGCCTCCCAGCTAGGGGTCGTCAGGCTGGTCTGGCCCTCAGGCCTCAGGGTCATCCTCTTCTATGGCCGTCATGTATGGAGAGACCCTGACGGCGAGATACTGAGAGGTGGAAGAAGCTGAGTAGAATCCAGGTGAGGCAGGAGCTCAGATGTGGCCTTTGAGGAGTGCGTGAGTCTGCAGCTTCTCCCCAAGTCGGGCTCCCCAGGTGCCTAAGGACAGGTCTCCTTTGGGGGCCACTCAGCTGACCAAAAGCTGACTCCCCTTCCCCAAAGCAAAGTGTCTTTGACCAAGCTGTGCTGGTGTCAAACCTCTGGGAAGTTTGATCCCGTGCGAGAGCTCCTACGCTAGGTAGCATCAATAAGGTTATTGCATAAGGTATTATGAGGATACAGAGGTGTGAAAGGAAAATGGAACATTTGCCCTCAACAAGCTTACTTTCCAGCTGAGAAGACATTTTATGTACACACGCAAGCACTGGAACTCAACCTGCACTGGGTCACCAGGAAGGCTTCCTGGAGGAGGAGTGACTTGAAGCAGGCTTCAGAACATCAATGACCTCAGACTGGAAAGGGCCTTAGTGATCATCTATTCCAGCAGTTTTTAAACTTTGTAGCCTCAGGACCCTTTCTTCAAAGAACCCGTGTGTGGAAACACAATATGTAAAATGGATGAAAGACAACTATTCTAGGGGAGCCGGGCCTCCCTTTCTACTGAAGCCTCTCCGGGGCGCCTGAGGAACCCTTCAGGCTCCTGTCAGCTCCACAGAATGCCGTGAAATGTGGCCACTGGTCTAAGCCACTTTACAGATGAGTGGCAGAAAAGGGAAGGGATTTTTTCCCAGGACCGGATAGTCCATGGCAGAGCTGGAGGCCGATCTGAGGGCATTGCATTTTCATTTGTTTTGTCCCCCCTGTTATTTATTTATTTATTTTTAAATTTTATTTATTTATTTAAGTCCCCCCTGTTATTAAGACCTACCTCCCACCACAAGAAGCTCAGAAGAAGTGAAGCAGAAACCCAAATGAGACAAGGGCCTTGTGGAAGAGACCAAAGACAGTGGCCGGAATGACAGGATACCCTGGCTGCATGCGAGATAGGTAAATTGAGGTAACTAACTCCTGAGCCCCCAATGGGAGGCAGTGACTAGGATCTCATTTGGATCTGCCCCAGGGGTCTGCTGGGGCCTCTCTCTTCACGTCCAAGTAGCAGCCAGCCTCTCCAGCCTAGGACTGCTCATCCGGCCCTGTCTTTTCTGCAGCACCGTGGACACGTTCCTCTGTTGTCACATAGCTGGGCCGAGAGCATCCGGGCCTCATCTGGGACAATGAGCCCAGGGAGGACAAAGTGACCTTTCCTCCTGAGCATGAGTGAAGTCCTGCCTTGACTCAAAAGAGAATCCAGCATCTTAGTTGCTTCTCCTCAACTCACCTAAGGTCTTTCACCCGTGCTATGGGAGACAGCAGGTACTTGGACTCAAAAGAATCTTCTCCCTCCGTCGTTTCTCGCAAAGGGTATTTGGGACTGCAGCTTCGCACACTTTGCCTGAATATAGGAATGTTAGAGCAAGTATGGAGGGGTGGG